AAAAAAAAAAAAAAAAAAAAAAAAAAAAAAAAAACATGAAGGGACTGATAAATAAACGTCTTTGAATGTAGCAGTGAGGAAAGCAAAAAAAAGTCTAAAAAAAATAGAAGATCATGTTGAGATTCTTGAAAGACTGCTTCTAGAATAGGAAGCAGAAAAGATGATAACACTTTCAAATCTTCTTCTACCGACCAAACTTCATTCCAGACTGAGACCTACTTCGAAAAAGATAAACTTAAACAGCGCAAAATATGAAAAACTTAATATTTTTGGCAAAATACAGTAAAAAAATAGTTATTACAATAAGCCAACTTTGGTTCCATGTAACTGATAAAAGCCGTTACTTGGCAAAGGATATTTGCCGCATAATAGTGATGGCAACGGTAATCATTGAATATTAATCAGAAGAAAAGAGGCAACAATTTTAAATATTAATGTGCAGGAAAACCTTGATGTCAAAATATCTGAAACTCAATTTTGCAGTGCCAAGCATTCATCACTTCCTGCGTTAAGTACTGATACAAACAAAAATAAAAATGATTTGCACCACGCCAGTTAGGAAAATTATCAGCCACATGCACCTACTAGTAACGAACAAAATTATCAGCATGCAGTAACTCTCATACAAACTGTTCTTCTAACTCTTTCATCTCTCAGTTCAAATTGAACCAGTTTTACGCTCTGAAGATATTAAGAAAGACAACACAATTGACCCTCCAGCAAAAATTGCACGCCTAAATAAATATTCGGAAAATCCGTCCTTATACATACTGTAAAACAAGATGATAAACCCACAAATGTTAAGGAAAAGCTGTCTTTCGGTTATATGCAAGTACTCTTCATCATCTAATATCAAAATCACTATAAAAATTTTAGATTACTTCTTAAAATCCAGTAAAAAGTAAACATCCTAGTTTGATAAATATAAAACTTTCCTTAGCAAAAACCGTAAACACTTATGACCTATAAATAATATATTTGTGACCAGATCGTGGTCAAAATCAAACACAAAGTGTCCAAAATTAGCTTAGGGAACCTTGTTGCTTAACAAAGTGAGAAAACGCTTTCCAAATCCATTTTCTCAGACCAAGTACCAATCAACATATAATGCTAAGAAAAGCTCTGGAAATTTGCAGAGACCAAGACATTTCAAAAATAAAATAAAGATCAAGAAACAAAAACAGTCACGACCGGCGCCAAGAAGTGAAATCGCGTAATTAACGGGATGCCGCAGCGTACAGCGGTTAAGAAAAAGACCACTAGCAGAAGAAAAGAACCGTTTAATTACAAAAAATTTTGGCAGGCTATTTACTACGCTTTTCAGAAAATAATAACAACTTAAAAAGGAAGATTGTACTTAAAAAGCTTTTTTATAAATTAAAGCAAAAATAAACTCAGTCCAGTTGTTTCCCCTAAAGCAAGTGACTGAGAAACCACATTGATGCTGACCCAGAAAACTTGCGAAGTCCGCATCATCAGTAGAAATGAACTTCTTCAGAAATGTCTTGATGGGAACAAATAGTAAAAACAGAGACAAACAGAAAAATAGAATATAAGCTTCATCCATTTATACCAAAAAACTACTAACGCTGAGACTCACATCGAATAACCGGTGACAAAGGATGCTCAAGTTTTATTTTAGGAGCTCCATGAAAGATGCAGTGAACGCTAAACCCAATTGCTATCAGTAAACATTACATTTCATTCCTATTCATTAAAAATTCCAAACCTTTCCAAACCTATTCAAAATACGACCCAGAGGTGTAACGTCAAAGAAAGCCATAGGCGAATGAAGAATGTTTTTTAAGATTCCTTCATGTAGCGTACGACTCGCATATACCATTCCAAGAGCCATAGTTATCGATGCAGCACAAATAAAAATTGCTGAAACAACCTAATAGTAGAAAACAGTAAAAAAAAGTGAACAACCAATGAAATACAATCCGCCTGAGCCGCAAAAAGAGATGCAATATATATATATA